ATGTCTATTATTTCACGTTTATCACAAGACATCATCAATTCAGTTTAAATAACTCAAATGACTCCTAAAAATTTTTGAGTCACGTTATTGTATTGTAATTAAGTTAACTTGTAGTTATGTTTCAATAAAATATGATTTTTAAAGAGAATCGGACACTTATTTCTGGACAAAATAATAGTAAAAGGAAAATGAGAAAAATTAAACTAAATGCGGTTTTTGTTTAGTAAATTTGGAAATAAATTCTATGAAAATATTTAATTTCGTAAGAATCTTAATTAAATGTAATAAAATCCATAATTCATTTTACGCATATTTTGGAACGTCTAGAAAGAATTCTAGTGATGCAAATGTCACATATCTGATCACATTAAAACAAAATTTACAAAACAAGATCTACTTTAAAAAACACAGACATTTTGTGACTACCACCAAGTTTCTTTTGCAATCTAATTGTGACAAAATCGAAAAAAATAAGCATAAATTCCGGTGCTTTATTAAAATTAATTAAATACGGTTGTTGCGGCAGAATGGAACTAAAATATTCATTATTAAAAAAAAATAATTTTGGGGGTAACCCCTAATTGGTATATAAAGACCCGCTAACCAAAAACCAGCCAACACAGTTGCATCGTCAATCCTTCAAGCAACATCATGAAATTTCTGGTGAGTCAAGATATAAATAAAAAACCAAATTGTTGTATAATTTTTTATTGATTTAATTAGGTTTGCGCTTTACTGCTAACATCTGCAGTCCTTGCAGAAGAATCCTCTAAATCGAAACGTGGTCTTATCTTAGGCGAGCATTTGGGACATGATGTTCTTTCTTTGGGAGGTTTAGAAGGCGGTCTAGGACTCCAAAGTGGGATTGGACTCGGGGGTGGTCTTGAAGAAGAACACCATGGACATATCCACCACATCACTCTACACAAGAAAATCCCATACCCAGTACCACACCCCGTTCCAGTACACATTGAGAAAAAAGTACCATACCCAGTTAAAGTGCCAGTACCAGTGAAAGTCGACAAGCCTTACCCTGTGCATGTGCCTGCACCTTACCCAGTCCATATTGACAAGCCTTACCCTGTTAAAATCGATAAACCATACCCCGTCCCAGTGAAAGTACCAGTCAAGGTACCAGTACCATTCAAGGTTCCTTTCCCAATCGCTAAGCCTTACCCAGTGCCCGTCCACAAACCAGTCCCAGTACACATCCCTGAAATCAACATCATCAAGAAACCAGTACCTGTTTTTATCAAGGGTCACCACGAAGGGTTCTCTGAAGGTTTGGGAGAGAGCGGATTGTCGTCTCTTGGAGGTGGTCTCCAAGGTGGACTCATAGGAAGCCAGGGTTCGTCTTTAGGAGGCGGAATCGGTCTCTCTACCGGGGATGAGTTTGAACATCACTATCACCATCACTATTAATTATGTTAATCCAACTGTTGTTTATTATTTATTGTCAAGGTCATTCTCTAAAATAGTGTGGTTTAGCTTCACGCAGTGGAGAGTTAACCACATTATTCGCAGCCAGAAATGGATTGTCGAGCAACTGTTAAATTTCGTTAAATATGTGAGATTTCCTTTCAGCGTTGGGATCAAATCCACATTTCAACGAAATTCTTGTCTGTTTTTCTATAACTGAATACCTTATTAAAGATTCCAAAAGCATTATTTTTTTGTTTCATTGAGTCTTTGCGGTCATAACAATACAAAATTATCTACCTGAAAGTGCACAAAATACACGTATCTATTTCACGAAAAAATTAATTGAGGAAAAAGAGTGCGGCATCTGTTCCGCGCAGAAAAAAAATCCCCACTTCTAATGAAATAAAATTGTTGAATTTTTTCACACTTACCTGGGCATTGGTAAGGTACATTCTCGAATTTTTTGATAATTTTTCATTTACAAAGCCAAAAAAAAATTAAAAAGTAATTTTCTCCCAAAAAGTTTAATTCTAATTTTTATACTGACCTACGCAGATTCACTTCCTATTGTTTACAAAATCAGAAAAAAACACCAATTAGATTTTGAATTAAACACAATTTTCCATCTTAACTTTGAAAATCATCTTTAAGTATGACTTGTTACTTATGCCATCGTAAATTTAGGAGGCAATGGGGAACTGCAATTGGGATAAGATTCTAAGGTTTACAACAAAAAGACCCTTCAAAGCGGTCTGTAAAGGATTCTTTTGTTGCAAATTATACCATTTTGTCATAAATCACGGGTCTGGTTTGTGTTTAAATAAAGAAAGCGATTACTTGGCTAACCAAGCCAAAATTTGAAATTGTTATATCAAAGTTTGATGCGCTAACAGGTACAAGTTCATTTAGTGTAAAAACAGAAAGCATTCATAAAACACACAAAACTGTTACGGCCTCATTTATTATCAAACAAATTTTGAAAAATTCTCAAAATATACCCTATCAATAATTAGTTAGGTAGGTATATGAAATATATGAAATATCGTCAGTTTTAAATAATTAGGAGTCGTTACTTGAAAGAACGTTACTTGAGTCTTGTACTCGTACAGTTGGTTGCATAGAACCAAATTATTGTCATTCATGAACGGATAATTGAACAAATAAAAAAAATGACTGAAAGTGAACTATTTTTACGATTTTACTACCGCTCATCTTCAGACATTCAAAAAATTGGAATTTTTTAAACTTAATCCAATGGCGTTTTATGCACTTATATGAGTCTTTAAGACCTTTAGAAATGTAAAGAACGTTAAATGGATCAATTTTGACCCGGAGCGGTCTATTGGCAATAACTCCGGACTTATTGGAGATAACTTCATATATTCATATATTTGATAAATAAAGAAAATTTGTGATAATTATTTTACAATAATTCTATTACTATTACTCAAAATTAATTGAAAACCAGTGGCGCAGGAAAAGACAAAGAGGGAGTGTTTATCTATGTAAAAAAAATGCGCACTTATTTATAATTGTACATATACAGGGTGTTAAAAAATATTCTGTTACTTTGCGGACCTATGTTTTTTAAGATTTTTTTGTTTTGGTCCGTACTACTACCTCCTGAAATATTTCTTTTTTAACACCCTGTATACATTTCATGCTACTTTTATTTTATTATACTTTATATTACTTACCTTTTGTTTACTTATATCTATTTCACTAATACACTTATGTAAATCATTTGTGTTATTAGTAATAATAACAATAATTAATAAAAAAAATTTCCTTCATTTTTAATACAAAACTTACCTTTCATGTATTTTACTTTTAACTTACCTTTTGTTTACATATATTATATTAACTTTTACACTATTTTCACTTTTGTTTTAAAGTTCGCGCTCTTATACGCCCGCCATCTATTAGTGCTTATTTTAGTTAGTATTGTGCGCTTTCTCTCTTATACTTATTAGATAGAACATGTGCACATGTTTTTAAAGATCGCGCTCTTATGCGCCCGCCCTCTTTTGACATTTATTTTAATTATATTTGAATTTGAGAAAAATTGCCGACTTGACCGGGGCTCGAACTCGGGACCTACCTGCTGGAAAGCGGGACCTTATGCCGCTGAGCCACCAAAAATATATTTTTCGCATTTTTACAACGTTTTTGTGCTTTTCTAATTCTTTTGAACCCCCAAGAGTGCAAATGGACAATTTTGAAGTTTTTAATTTTTTCGATTTTTATCAAAATTGTTGGGCGATTTTCGATACGCGGAGCGGTTTATTGTTAATAACTCGGAGAGATAACTTCATATATTTGGCACCGTTGGAAAGAAAATTTACTTTTCTATCATATACAAAAAAGATCAGTGCTCTACGATAAATAGTTATCGAAAAAATTTGTGATAAAGTCAAAAATATTAAAAATATAAATTCGCTTATAACTTCAAAACTATTACAAATTTTGCAGTTTTCTTGACGCCAATCGATTCCCCGGAACATTTTACATAGGTTTACATCAAAATATTATATCATTGGGGTACAGTTTTTATACTTTATATTACTTACCTTTTGTTTACTTAGGTATATCTATTTCACTAATACAAATCATCTGTGTTATTAGTAATAATAAAGAATTATTGATGATAATGATGGTACCTTCGAGCATCTTTTGTTGTATTGAACTAGTTAGTCCAATAAATGCAGTTCCTAAATTACGTTATTAACTTTTTAAAGTTAGAGAAACAATAAAGGTCAAATATCAATGTCATTGTCTTTTGACAGATAAGGGTGACCAAAATTCGGCTCCATTTTTTCATAGCCGCCAATGGTTTTGCATCTTCAGCCACTTTTAACACAATTTTAGTCCTTTTTTTTTGTAAGCGGGACCTCTTTCAAAGATAGATTTTTGCTTATGGCATTTTTATTGGCGGTTTTTTCAAAGGCTAGGGTTGTTTTAGTAATTTGATATTAATTTCTTCCTACTACATACTCTACATTTTAAATTTTGTTAGAATCCGTTGGCAAACAATAGAGATATTAGGTCCGAAAGTCTTAGGTGGGACACCTGTATAAAACATTTTTTATATGCACAGTAAGTGATAGCAGTAGTTTATGTTAATAGTTAATTAGTAATATGAATTATTCAAAGGATATAACTATAAGCAAATATGTGTCAAAGAATCAAACATTTCAATGTCATATAGGAATTTTATAAGATTATTATTTTATTACAACAAAATTTTGCAAATATGTGAACTCATTCAGTAATTCCTACTAAATAAAATGTTTACACATTCTGAGTACATAATCAGCAACCTACATAAAGTATACTCACATTAAATATTTTTGTGTAGAAATGCTAAATAAATACGGAATTCAATTTGTGTTGAAATAGGAGCCTTGCTCTTGATTAGATAAACTCCGACTGATATTACACTCTCCTGCCACAAGGAAGAACAAGTCACGTAATGTCAATAAGAGACAGATGGTCAGTTTTGTCTTTTTAAAACTACACAAAATCGTTCTCGATCTTTTAGTCCGTTTACAAAAATTCTTGGTTTGATTGAAGTAAAAGATTATTATTGTTTTAGCAAGCAATAAAATTTCATTTCCTCTTTAGTTTCCTATTCGATTTTATTTACTGAAGCTGACAGTAGGAATTATACCACACAAGCTTTGTTGTTAAAAGCATTCATTAACAGTCAAATTAGTATTTTCTGTATGAATAGGCTTGTTCCCTTTATAATTACATTACATAACATACTCGCTTACTCGAGAATAACTATTTTCTGCTTCATTTATTTGTTTTATTTATAGAAATTAAAAGTTAGTCAGTCAAAACGTTATTTGTAAACTTTGTTTTGCATGTTTTCTCTAATTACAAATCTGTATAAAATTCGCGTTTGGAAATATTTTTTAATTAAAGAATGTCGTAACTGGAGCTTCGCTACAAATCCGCGATCCTGCATTAATGATCGACTTTTCCGACCCAAGTTGCATAACAGAGATAAATCATTTATGAATTAATTCTGCATTTTCGTGTTCTAGTTATGCGATAACAACATGCCAAATACAAATTAGATAAACATAATACATAACGTACAGCCGGAATTTTTTCAAAATCATTACGATTATATCATTGGAGGAAGTCTTATCTAATTACCGTCTTAATTTCTGTGTTTGTTAACCGAAGTAATATTTCCATACTCATGATGTAAAAGAAAAGGCATTAATTTAAGCGCGACCCAAATAAAGTGCGTTTTTACACATGAGCGGAACTAAGGGTTCTTTGGGGAAAGTAAATTCGTATAAATACAAGCTGGCCGGTGTGATAAGCATCAGTCAGTGCCTAACCATTGGATTAATACAACAATGAAGTTTATTGTAAGTGACCCAAGTGAGTGCTAACTCCCATAACGTGCATCCATTCCAGATTCTCATCGCCTTCTTAGGCTTCTCCCTCGCTCAGGAAGCCCAAGAAGAAAAGAAACACACAAAACGCGGGATCGAATTCGGCGGTTTTGAAGGCGGCTATGACTTCGGGGGCGGCGAAGAATTCGGAGGCGGTCACGGCCACCACCACGAACACATCAAGACTATCACCATCACCAAAAAAGTGCCTTACCCGGTACCACACCCCGTACCTTACCCAGTTATCAAACATGTACCTTATCCTGTGAAAGTACCAGTCAAGGTTCCAGTGCCTAAACCATACCCTGTTCATGTACCTAAACCATACCCCGTCATTGTCAAAAAACCATACCCAGTAACTGTCGAAAAACCATACCCTGTCCCTGTCAAGGTTCCAGTCAAAGTGCCATACCCAGTCAAAGTACCTGTGCATGTGCCTAAACCTTACCCAGTTCATGTACCTGTAAAAGTACCAGTTAAAGTTCCATACATCGTTGAAAAGAAAGTCCCAATTTACATCAAAGAACATCATCACGAACATCACGAATTTGGAGGACACGAACTTGGAGGACACGAATTTGGAGGACACGAAGGCATTGAAAGCATTGGAGAAGGATTCGAATTCTCACATCACCTTCATTAATGTTTTTGTTTTTGGTACGGTAATATTTCTTGTTGTTTTTTTACAATTCTAATTAATTTTTTCCTTTAGTTACAGATATTCCAGTTGCTCAATCCATGAATGTCACATGTGATATTAATAGTTATAGTTGCTTCTGTAACCCTTGTTGAGATTATATTTTTCTAATTGAATAAAATGTTGAAACAATAACAAAACGCATTATTTATTTATTCCGAAACAATTCATGCAACAAACAAGGTTTTTTTCATAATTCATCGAGATGCAATCAATGCTTTATTAAAAATTGATTTATTACACCATTAATTTCTCTTGGTGCTGAATTGATTACATTCATCAAATGCATTCAGTGAAACAAAATGGAAAAACTACCAACAAGTAGGTATACTGAAAAATTATAACTTCAACAATAAAAAATTTGCTTTTATTTAGATGATCCCTTATTAGTCTTGCGAGCTTTACCAGAAATTTTATTACGACACAGAATCATGAAACATGTGGCTGTATGTTTTCTATGTTACATGGCTGCCACGACGGTTTTTTGTTCTTACGTTCTTGTAACTGTGCGAGGAGTTCTGGAATTGTTCTGGAGTCAATACAGTTTGTTGGCTTTTGGATCATCTATAGTACGCTTTATATTCCACATTTATGCTTAATTACCACCACTTTCCAGGGTTTTTCTTGCTATTTAATAGCATTGTGGAAAGGTTCCGAATTTATGAAACTTCGCCGACGAGTTTTTGCTAGTTATTGGCCTTTGACAAGTCTTGGGGACAAAGCGTTTCAAAAAATCAAGAAATTCGGCTACTCTGCAAATCTTTATACGATGGCTGCAATTTTAGCTTCAATTGCAACGTCAACTGCTGGTTTGCCTTGGGTTGGCGATGAATATGATATTATGTTTCCAGTGAGAGTATATACTGATTACTTAGGCGAAAGGGCCGTTCCACTTTTAGTGTTTTTTTATATGACGTTGTATTTCACCGGATTTGTTATGATTTCTACCAGTTTCATTTTTGTTCATTTTGCTTTACATCTTAAGTTTCAGTTTTTTTTATTAAATGTACGGCTCGATGGTCTTCGAAGAGAACCACCAGTTGAAGGTAATGATATTTTGTATCAAAATCATGTCAAAGAAGAATTGACGTCTTGTATTAAGTACCACCAAGAACTGCTCAAGTATGCTGAACACAACATTGAAACACTAAATTATTAAAAAAAAATTCTAGAGTCGCAAAAGAAATGAATGATATTGTTTATTTTCCAATCTTTATAGTAATGTCTAGCGGTGTAATATTTTCTGTATGTCTTCTTTTTTATGTGGTATTTTTTGCGTATTAGTAGAGGAAATTATTTAATAATTTTTGTTTAGAAAAACTTTGCGAATTCTTTGGTACGAGGAACTACAATGGCCATAACTGGATCTTTAATAACTTTTGGGTTTGGAATCACAGGACAGCTTATGGAAAACGAGGTTTGCATAAATTTAAAGTGTTTCACTTTTGATTTGTTTTGTTTTCAGTCTGGAAGACTTTTCGATACTTTAGTATTGTTGCCTTGTCATTTATGGAGTCTCTCAAATAGAAAACTTTATCATATTTTTTTAACCAAATCACAATATCATATTAGTTTTTCAAGTTCTGGCATTATTAATCTAAACCACACTTTATTTATTTCGGTATGAAATATCTCTTAGAAGTTCTAATACAAATTTTTATTCCAGTTGTACACAAAAGTTACGTCGATATTGTCATTTCTGATGAACGTTTCCAATAAAAGCGACACAAAGTAATTTTCAAATTTTGCGATTAAATCATCATTATTGATACAAAAATAATAACACAATATTCCGTTCCTTGCTTGTAATTTTATTTTTACAAACTTGTAACTCATTATGTAATTTATAATGACTTAGAGTTTAGACAATAGAAATAAAAAGCAAAATCTTTAAAAGTGCATTTTTAAAAGAATTCAACCAAACTACACTTTACTCATTACATCTCAAATAACAGTCATGAGAAAACTACAAGCTACAATAACAAATTTCTTTGAAATTCGAATTAAGGGTAAATCACTAGAAGAAAATCAACTCTCAAAAATCAATTTTTAGATGACGTTTTGGCCGAGCTGCTCGACTGGCCCGATTTCGTTCTTTATTCAAAATGGCCTAAAATTCTTGCGATTTTTTCATTTGCGTACTGTATTTTAGAAACACTTGTTTGTACTTTGGTATATTCAACACTAGATGTGGACATGTTGGGAAAATATGCCATATTTATTGTAAAATCTACAATTGTAAAATTTTGTTTTATTTGATAAGTTTAATTATTAGCTTTAAATTCCAGGCTTTGTGTTCCTTCTTCTCGTTTTTTACTAAACGAAAACAATATCACGAAATTGTCAACGAGAATTTTTCTCACTTTTGGCCATTCCAAAGTTTAGGAAAAGGCACGTTTGATCGAATTAAAACACGAGCCAGGATTGTAAAATTTTATTCATTTTTGAATGTCGTTGCTATGTTGATTGGAGGTGTTATAATGGCTTCGTTTACTCATGATGCGTCCGAAATATATCTTTCTATTAAAATATACAAGGATTATGTTAACAAATGGACGGCAGGATATATCATGTTCTTCTACATTGGTTTTGTTTATATTGGATTTGTTATAGCTTCAATTGTTTTTGGTTTAACTTATATAATATTTCATTTGATATTTCAATGCTTTTTGCTTAGTCAAAAATTGGAACAAATTAATGATTATCTTGTAAAAAATGGACAGAAAGGAATTAAACTCGAGAAGAAGTACCAAAACTTTATTTATAAAGAGTTAATAAGCTGTGTGAAACTTCATCAACGTCTCATTTAGTAAGAAAACTACCAAATAATATTTTCCTCCATTAACTAAATAGATATGTTACAGTTTTGCTAATAGAATTAACGATTTAGTGCACACTCCAATATTCATGTTTACTTTTTCAGGGGTTGTTGTAGGAGTCGCCCTGATTTATTTTTTGGTAACACAATTGCATTTTTTGTAATATTTTTCAGAAATTTTCTTACAGAAAAGTAGCATTCAATACATAACCACTAGTTTGGTTTTATCACTTATTACACTTATTATTTCCACAACATTAATAATGACTGGTCAGTTGCTAGTAGACGAAGTAAGTTTTATTAAAAACTACCATTCATTTAATCTGTTTAATCAATTTTCCAAATAACAGACAGAAAATATTTATGTTTCGCTCACTAATCTACCCTGGTATTCTTTAAATGTCCAAAACAGACGAGTTGTTTTTGCCATGCTTATACAAAGTCAGAAAAATATCCAGATGTCTGCTTCAGGATTAATTTCATTAAATTATCAAGTCACAATTGTGGTAAAATTTTGAAATAATTTGCTTTCTCGTAATTAATTATGCATTATTTCAGCTTTTCCGTTGCATTTACGGTGCTATTACATTTTTAGTTAATATGGGGCTATAAACTAAATTTTGATCTGCTTTCGTAGAAAAATAATAGCACTAGTTGTTTTACTAAGTATCACCACCACTAATTGAAAGTATTAATAAGATAAATAAATGACACTGTGACAGTAAAAATTATGTCACTGATCTACTTGTAAAATTATGATAAGGTCATTAGTCAGAGAATAGTATCAGTGATACCATTTTTGGACACAAGTCTTGCTTTTGATGTGAACTAATTTAATTATTCACGACGATTAGATTACATAATCAATAAGAAATATTTAGCAAAAATACCATTGTTTGCTTTTCAATGTCTTTTCTGGGTTACGCATGGCTAAGCCTGTCGTCTTTACTCTTTTCTACCTTGACAATGACACACCAGAGATCTGGATCTCATATAACACGGTCATCTTTTCATTTGGTTTTATTCTAATACTAGTTCAACTCCAATTGCAACATTGAAATAATAACTTCAGACAAAAAACTTTACTAATTACCCTAAGTTTCTATTTTGGAAGGTCGTAATGTAATTAATAAAAATTTCTTTTGATCATTTCCAAACATATATTTCACCACTTCCGACACTTGCAACATAACGAAAGCGAAGTAACAAAAATTAAACATGTCACGAATTTATATAAAATTTTTATTTTGGCATTGTCAGCTTCCACGAAACGGTGCACTAATTTATTTCTGCATAATTTTGAGGAGTTTCCTCCACTCACTTTGTTTAGCAAATTACATAAAAGGAAATCATATAATACGCTCTATTTTCTTCGATGTTTATTTCACCTCTTGGCACTGTTGTTACACATTTTTCGATTAATTCCATTCGCTAGATTTAAGTGAAATTCGTCCTTTTTTGTTCTACAGATCACTGAGTAATATACATGCACGTAAAGATTTTTCTGTTCTACTTTGTTCGATTGTTTCGTGTGAGAGTAGCAATTGCGTAATGGATATGTCTTTATTATTGACTGATTGTATCCTACAGATGCTTATTAATTGACATAATCGATAATCTATATCGTTGTTTGAGCCATTAACTACTAATAAATTTAAATGTTATTAGATTAGTCATTCGTGTGTAAATGTTTTGTTATATAAAATACTAATTAAGTGATGTAGAATTTGATAGAAAATGCCCTAAATTTCTGATTGCGCTGAAATTCTTAATTAGAAACTATAATTATGAAGGTTGGTTTAGATCATCTGCATGGCATCGGTAGCGTAACCCATAAATCTATAATTACGGAAGAAGTCTACCGTTGCTTAACTATTTCAAGGTCAACTTTTACTCTCGTCTTAACTATGTGAACCAGAGAGAAGAGAAGAGATGCGTGCCACGCACAAATCTATAAGAAACTTAGTTGGGTAACTTTATCATGCAACACGTTACATTTTTATGTAACTTTGGGAACTGGTCTATATTTAGGTGAGTAAGACTGTATCGGTCTGTCGCAGCATTGTATTTTCTTATTACAACGTATGTACACTAGAAAAAGGGGGGATAGAAAGCCATAGTGCAAAGTTTTGACACAAATCCCCCAAGAAATATAAATACAACCCAAGCGTCTGTTTCCATTATCAGTCGTAAACACATCCAATATGAAGCTTCAAGTAAGTGTCAGTGTGGTGAAACCCCCAAGTGCTAATTTTCTTTGTTGTAGAGTGCACTGGTTTTGATATTGGGTTTGGTGCTAGTCTCCGCCACCCCCGGTGAAGAGAAGAAAGAAAAAACCGAAAAAGCCGCTGAGAAAAAGGACAAACGTGGTCTTTTCGATTTTGGCTATGGTTTTGGGGGTGGCCATGAAATCGGGGGTGGCATCGAATTTGGTCATGGAATTGGTCTTGGGGGCGGTATTGAAGAACACGGCCATGTCAAACACGTGACCATCACTAAGGAGGTTCCATACCCAGTACCACATCCCGTACCCTATCCAGTGGTCAAGAAAGTGGCAGTGCCATACCCTGTCAAAGTGGCAGTACCTGTTGACCGCCCATACCCCGTCCATATACCCAAACCATACCCTGTTCCTGTCGAAAAACCAGTACCCTACCCGGTCGAAAAACCAGTACCTTATCCTGTTAAAGTACCAGTCAAGGTACCTGTACCAGTGCCTCACCCATACCCTGTACCCAAACCAGTACCTTATCCAGTGCACAAACCTGTACCATACCCAGTCAAAGTACCTGTCTATGTAGAGAAACACGTTCCAGTTCTGGTCAAAGAACATCACCATGAAGGGTTCGGAAGTTTCGGAATAGGACATGGAATCGAAGAATTTGGAGGGTTCCATCATTAAGCGACTGACGTTGCTTTTCTGTTGTTCTCATCAGTATTGTTGCACTGCGTTTTGCTCATTTCATCTCTGTCTAAGTTAAATTATATTTATTCCTTTATTTTCTACTTAATAAAATGTTCTTTTTAAAAGTTGGTTTTATTTAGCACTTCACAATTTCTTTACGTTCCATATAATTAATTTATTAATAAGCAACAAAAGAAAAAGTTCAAACTAAAATTAAAATTCAGCAATTGAAATTTAATATGTTTCCACTACCTAAATCAACTAGTCGAAAACTCGAAATAATATTATAAAACGCTTTAGAGCTAATCATACATACCAGATGAATCAAAAGTATGGATTCAAGCGTTTTTGGCTTAAACTATTTATTATTTGAAAAAACTAATTGATGAATGCTAAAGTAAAATAAAATTTAAAAAAATAAAAATGTGATGTTTTATCAAGAATAAAATTTTTCAAAATTTTCTTTTGTCTTGAGTTCAACAAAAAAATTTTTTTAATGCAACCCACTATAAACCTATTTTGTTCATAAAGGTGATGATCTAAGTATTATTTTTATTAAAAAAATCGCATAACTCAAAAACAAAACAGAATTTAATTTTCAAAATACGATCACATTTTTTATATTATCTTAATTTGTATTAATTATTATTTTCTGGAAGCAAATGATTTACAAAAAAACCGCTTAGTTCCATATTTTATATTCACTCTCTATAATAATACAACAGATAGTGTTTAAAAAAAATGGATATAAAAACTAAAAATTACTTTTTTGTTCATTTTTTATATCTGAGGTCTCCTAAAGCGTTACAACAGTTAAATGTTACAATCATTCCACGTAAAATGCAGTTTTTTTGTGCAAAAATATTTTGGTGCAAAAAATTGACACTAACAAAGTTGGAGACACTTTTCTTTATAAAGTTATTATTAATCTGTATTTTCAAGGCCAAAAAAACCATTTGTGACTCCTAAAATAACAATCGCGATTACAAGACGTCCATTGTCCATTGGCATTTAAAAAATTTTTTTTTTCAATTAAAAAAATCGCTTGACAATTCTATGAAACATTTGTTGTAAAAAAACATATTTTTTTTGTAATGTTAAAAACTTTTTTGAAAGTGTTAAAATTAGGTAATAATGATTCTTTATGGTACCAGCCTGATATATTACAAATATGTCACGCAAGAAAAAGTTTACTTGAAAAGCCCGTAGGGCGAGTGGGGTACTGTCCTTAAGTGACTTATTTGCAATAAAACACGTGTGTCATACAAAACTTTATCCAGCACCTTTAATTGTCATTTCAAGTTCATTTTTAAATATCAGGAAACTAAAAAATAAGTATCACAAATGTGTTATACTTTTCCTCACTCGTGATTTTGTTTAAAACTCCATTGTTATTGTTCAATTATTAAGAGGTGTTGGATTAAAATTAAAATTTATTGCAAATGCTACTAATTTATGTTAATGAAAATTTAAAAACCACGTTTATATATACCAAAGATATTGATTAACTGAGAGAATCTTAGTTGAGACACTCTGTATTTTACTATAAAATAAAATAAAAATTATTTAAAAAAAGTGAGACCAATTGTGAATTTCTCCTGCATTGTAAATAGTTTATCTTATTTTTGATCAAACTACTTTTTTTCGATAGTAATCCAATAATTATTATTAATTTATAACGGTTCACTTTCACGCAATGTCATTGACAATACACGGGCCAGCGCAAAACGCAAATCAGCGTAGCAAAAAGTGTAGAAAAGCCTTTCTACGAGTACTTTAAATGTAAAGTGAGTGAAACACAATTTAGAAAAATAAATTTATTTAAAACAAAATAACGAAAACAATATATAAAGCTACAATTTTGGTTTACTACGACCCTTGATGTTGTTCCTGCGCCTGCTGTTCACCAGCCACCATTTGTATGGGTACCCACCCAAATTGTTGGGCTTGAGCGTGGACTTGGGTACCATAAGCCCCCGATTGGTCTTGTTCTGAGAAGCCTCCTGTGTGTTCACCCCCTTGGAAGCCTCCATCAAAGCCTCCTTCCTGACCTCCACCTTCTTGGTTCCCTTCGTGAACTTCGTTTAATTGTTGATGCCCAAATTGTTCATGACCAGCAAATGAACCTCCAAAGGAACCTTCAGATCCTCCGTGATGACCCTTAAATTCTTCGGCTGGTACTGGGAAAGGCTTGGGAACTTCAAAAGCGACAGGAACCTTCTTAATTATTTCTACAGGGACTGGATGAGGTACTTTGATGAGTTTAGTGTGTACTACGGGATAGGGTTTGGGGACTTCGACAGGATGGGGTACCGGAAAAGGTACTTTAACAGGATACGGTTTGGGTTCTTTGATTACAACTTTTTTGGTGATTTCAACTACTGCAGGAGGTAGAGTGTCTTTGATGGCACTGCCTAAGTGGATAATGTCGTATTTGGGGTAGTGCAGTTTTCCATAATGTGACTCATTTGGGACTCCTTCAAGATGGTGGCCTTGATGCTCAAAGCCGGGACGAGCGTGTGCTAGACAGCAAAGTGCAAGAATAACAGCCTGAAACAGCATTTACACAACCACTGTAGTAACACTTAATCCTGTTTTACTTACAAAAGGATTCATAGTAATAACACCTGTTGTCAAAGAAGGCTGTTAACTGCGAGAAACCATGAAGTGTTACTATTTATATACCAAACAAAATTACGATATCCGGAGACTCCTCGACTACTCTAAAATTCACTCCCATTTCACTTTCTTCGAAGTTCATGACTAGCGAATCAATAAAAACGTCAAACCTGCTGTCTCATTTCAGGCAGTAAACGGTTGTGGTTTGAAGAGTGACGAGAAATTTCATTTATTATTGTAAATTTTATTCACGACCTTTCTTTTTACATGGTTAATATAACAAAGATTTTACCTTCTCTGCTAAAAGGTGGTTCTACTATCCTTATTAAGTAAACTTGAACTCTGAGTGTTAGATAATGACAGAAGCTTGGACGTGAAAGTAATTGTTTACAGACTATTTAGTACAATCTCTTACTAACCACTAGTTGCTATCGCCTGAACTTGCTTCACATTTTACTTTGGCGTCTCCTCCGAGAACGAGTAATGTGTCGTTATTAATATCTCGTTTTTTTTTTATCAAAATTGCTTTAAAATTTCAAACGGTACATCAAGAAATAATAGAATCAATGGCCAAAAATAAGAAAGCAAGTCTGTTTTAACACTTTACTCCCCACCTTTTAGACGACTATAAACTGACAATGCGTACTCTTTAAATAATTCTGCGTAAACTTTCATTTTATTAATTTATTAGTTCAAATTATTAATCAAGTTTTACGATTTATTGTTTACTCACATACAAGTGTCATTACTCCCAGTTGGAATTTGAAAGGATTAATATATGCACACTATGTACAAATTGTTTTAAAATTATAATTAACTTGCAAAATTAAGAAAACTTTGCAATGTTAATGTATTCAAACAAAAAAATTAAACATTTCACTTGTACTTTTTGAACACCTTTCTCATACACTTCCAGAGTTAAATACATGGATAAAAAACTACAGGATTATTATAAACAATTGTAATATCAGAAAACAAAAATTTCCGCCTCTCAATTTATTGAGTCCATTTATAAACTAGATATTTTGATAGTTTTATTATTACAGGTCAAACAGAAAATTGCCGTTGAATAGCTCTCAATAAGTCAATAATAAATCTATTCTTCTCGAAACAATTAACATTTCTTACGTTTTATTTAAAACGTAAGTCCTATTAAACCTAAGAATTAGATAAGTAATATTGTCATTTTCAAGTAAGAAAATGCAAATGTAATTTGAACGCACTATTTGTAAAAAACGGCTACAAGTGTAAGATATTACTTAAACTGACAACAACTTTCAATTTTTTATTGATAGTAATAGTTGTATAAAAATGAATCATGTATAAAATGATCAAGAATTTAGAAGTCGATTGGATGTCGATTGGATGAATCATTTATATGAACCCTGTATATGTTACTACAGTACTAGTAGTAGTATAAAATTCCAGTTTCTGTGGTTTGTTGCTATAAAAATGAGCAACTATGCCCTAATTTAACCGACCTCATATCTCTTATAGTAACTGAGATCCCTACGGTGGAGCTCGAAAACCGAACAGCCCTGTATTAATAAATACTTCTTGTATAATCTTACAGGAACAGTAAGATTTTTTTTTTAATTCGGTTCCATTAAGTAAATTTACTTAGTATAAACTTTTCCACCTATAAAATTAATGACCAGTTACATTTGTTTAAATCCAACCAAATTGGATGAGGACTCCAACTTGACAAGTTAAATTTACCACAACGGTGGTAAAAATACATTGGTATCATTTTTATTTACGAGTACATTAATAAATAAATGTAAAAAGTATCATTATACAAACTGTATGTAATTTTTAAAACAAGCTGTATTCTGTACGTACTATAAATCAAACTAATTACGAGATACTATAGGTATTCAATTTAGTTCTTCTTTACATTTTTTCTATTGAAAAACTAATTATCGTGTGCAATTAATTTTCAATTTGTTAGTACGTTTTCTTTAATTTTGTTATATAACTTGTAAACAAAGAAATTTAAGACATACATCTATTGAACAACATAAATCTTTACTACAATTTTCATCACATTATGCAATTTTAACAAACGAAAAATGCTATTACAAAGAGCATTTAGTTTCAATCTACAAATTGACATATAAACGATTGTTATTCGAACAATTAAGGTAGCAAGTGCAAATAAATATTCAAATCAACACCATATTGCTTTCTTATTTCCAAACATCTTCAGATGAATTCAGGCGGAACTATAACAGAGTAGTGGATGTTGTCACATATTCTTCTTCGCTTCATATAAATCGCACAAAGAACGGACCAATCACTAGTGAAGGGAATCAGAAACACTTTCCCTGTCTGATCTAAATAAAATAAATGTAAATAAAATCACAAAACACGACTGCAATTTGGTTTTGTTTTTTGTGATTTTACATATGTCGACTTGGTTAAATGATCTTGATCATTTAGTGCAACAATCATTCACTGCTACGTTTATAAAACTACTCGTAAAATTGTAATTTTTTACATGCCGGATTCCAAATGTGAATAATCTCATTTAACATTAATTAATCAATTTATGATGAGTTACAAGTGAGAGTAAATAAATGAGGCATTCTTTTTTAAAGCAAATACACCTCAGACAACCCAAATTTTGCCTTTCTACAAGTCGGAAATAAGCAATCAATAAACAGTTTGATCAATTCTATCGTGAGATTTGATGAATAAATTTACAAGGCTATTGTCTTGAAGATTACTTCTTGGCTGGAACTAATTGTTATGGTCTGCTGAAGTTCATATTTCGTAAATGGTCATATTTGCAACCAGTCCAACCGAGCAACAGATTAAATCCATTAAAATAATTGCCAAAGAAACACTGATCATTATTTTAAAAATATCGTGTGAAAGTCGGAATCCTTTCAACCCCAAATGCATCATCTGGACAATATTATGAAAGTTGAAACAAACTACAGGAAACGGACCTTCTAATGGCCGTTTCCGGGAGTTTTAAAGCAGCAGCGAATTTTTTCGTTATGTAATGGAAAGAAGCGAACGCCTTGATTGATATCGCCATTATTTTGCCACACCTTATCAATTACTCAAGAAGTGGATTGGGATTTTATTAGAGATACAGTGATTTTAATATTATTGTTTCAAATGTGTTGGCGAGCTCTAACGACTTTCTCTGAAACTTTTTCAGTCGATCTTAAATCACTGCTCCATCTATCGAGCTCATATCGCATTAAAAATAAATGTATATAAAAATATAAGAATACCAATTTTTTTGATATAAATAAATTAGGGCCAGTATCATAATCAAACTAAAGGGACTTTAAAATTAATGTTAGTTTAGAATGTGCTGATTCGTATGGGCTTGTTGACAAAAATTTCACATTCTAAACCAACATTAATTTTAAAATCTCTTTAATTCGATTATGAAACTGGTCCTTAGTGATAAGAATTTTGCCTGGTTAATTAATTATTGTTTTTGAGAGAAAAATGTTCTAAACCATTAACAACTTTTGCAGTCCTTTTAATAATGAATCAATAATTAAATTACAACAAACTTAGATTTAAAAAATTGATTGTTGCGTATAATGTTACAATAATTGGATAATTGGACAAATATGGAGCTTTAAAAAGTTTGATTTATTGAAAACCTTGAGAATGAACTGAAAATTACAACACAAGTGACGGGTTTACCAATTCAGCAAACGGAAATGTAATTATTGACGGCGGAAAAAGTTTGGAATGCCCTCCTATACGTGCAAATTCCAATCTTTTTGTTGTAGGTGGAACTTTACGATTGAAGATAATTACAGATTTTGCAATAAAGCATGCACAACGTTATTAGGATAACTGTGAGCAATAACAATACTAATTGAGTTATTTTACTTACACAATTATGAAAAAAATTAAAAGATGGATCAGTTGTCAAATTAATTGTGCTATTCTGTTACAAAATAATTGCATAATTAGATAATAATTTGTTGGCAATAAAATATAATGGTGCAAAATAGGCTATTGAATGGAATGCCTTCGGAAATGAATAATTAAGCTTCAATATGCTTTTTAACCAGATGGCAGATACCTCCTTTTATGTCTGTCAAACACTTATTACAGTTTTCCAAGCTTTTCTGTTCGCTTCCTCCTTTTGCTCAAAAAAATTTCTTCCACTTTTATCAGAGATAAATCAAAAAAAAAATTCTTTTGTGTATTTTTTTTTGTGTATTAATTGAAATGGACAACACCAAAAGCCGCGACACGCCCAACTTTCGCTGAGATCTATATTAGTCTAGTTGATGCATCAACACCGATGTGCACATTGAGGAAGAAATATAACCGGAGGTTAAAGTTTTGCGTTCACTTTTTTTTATACAGACTCACTATAAGGAAGAATGGTGAATACAGTTTTTGAACTTTCCTGAACTAGAGAAAAAAACTAGAACACCGAAAATGTAAAAATTAAATGTCAAATGATCTCTTATTATTGATGTCGGGTGCGGTCAAAAATCATTTATGTAATAAAATAGCACTTAATTAATTTTTAGTCACGTCCTAAATTGACAATGATAATTAAAATTTGGTAACAGTTTCGAAATTTGCGGTAGTTTTGCCAAAAAGCTAATAGACACAAATATAGAATTAATTTCATGATGGATGGGGGAAAGTTGTATAGTTGGTTGCCTGTCATGGAATAAATTTCAAATCTTATTTGACTGCATTGAAGCAATTTAAAGATTAATCAGAGTGTTAAAAATAGCCACTTGAGACCCAACTAAAAAATGTAATTACAATAATACTAAAATTGCTCAATTTTCTACAATTAAACGCTGAGAAATAATAAGTAAACCAGACTCTTTTGATGTTGTTGCACTCACGGCAACATATTAATTATAATAAAAAAAACTGTTGTAATAAATCGTTTCAGTTTATTGCCCATTATGTATTTTGATACACGCACGACCAATTAAATCTCAAAGGTGCAAAAAATTAATCACACAAAGTGTGAGCACATATTTTAATTTTATTAGATCATAAAGAATTCAGTTTCACACATAAATTATAAAAATTGCCTTTCTAAAGTATTTGAAGGGACAAAGATTATTGCAATAAGTATAAACAAAAATTTATTTCATATATAAATATGTAAACTAAGCCTATTATCGTAACCATCAGGAAGTCATTGATGGAAGTTTAATAATACGAATAAATTTCATCCGAAATGAATGCAATCGGATTTCAATGATTTCCTCAAGTTTCTATGATACAAATATCTCTTCAAAACTGACATTCTACCGGTTTAGTAATCGTCATTATCACCTGTCTGCATTACATTCACTGAATATGAAAATTATTATATTCAACCATTCAGATACAAATTAACATTAAACAAAAAGTTAAAAATAAATAACTGTGATTAGTAATTAGTCATTGAGGTCAGGAACTCACATTTTTGGTACTTTAAGTGCAACTAGACGTAGTTATGAATTACCTTTACTTATTTACTATTTACTCAAATGATTATAACACCGGAATGTTTGTGCTCTATTTGCTTTAGTTTAATGCAAATCTACCATTAGTCATATCGTCACCTTAATTATCAAACCTCGTAACTTCAAAATCAAACTTTACAGAAAACACAAAAACACTCAAAATAAATCAATCAAGACACAATTGTTAAAAATTTTGTGATGACTTATCCAAATAATGACTATGAGTCTCAGTGAATTTGTTTTCTGTATTCTTTTTAATTCTAAATTTTATTTTGTAGATTAATTTTTCTAGAATTAAAAGTAAATAAAGATACGAGATACGAGGTCTAATTTTATATGCTACTTGGAATGTATAGATTAATTTGAAATACTTGTTCACCATACTACTAGATCGACATAGAATAAGTTTTTGCGTAACGTTATTGGTAAAACACAAGTTTTAACTAAGTAAAATATATACAAAGTGTAAAAATTAAAATTTGCGTCCAAATTTGCAATTTTTTGATTGGGACAGCCTGTATTTTCTCACAACGTAAAGGAGTTACTATTCTGGTAATAATTAAAGTAACATTATATGTAGTTATTTGGTTTTCATCATCGTGTGCAGTTTTTTTTTAAGAAAAAAGAAAAAAACAAAAAAAAATTAACAAAAGTAGAGTTTCGAGATATGATAATTAGGGTGATGATATTACCGTACGTTCATTTCCGTTTTATAGCTTTCGTCACATAAATGACTCTAAAAAAATAAATTTATTTCGTCATTTATGTAAATCATGTAAAGAGTAATGACATTGCAACTATTTCAGAAAATTGCAATTGTGGAGAGTTAGTATTAACATCCTGAAACTGTTACATATTTATTCCTTTGTGAATTTCTGCCAAACATTTCTTGCATTGTTGCAGAAATTTGCATATTATGGAATATTAAATCCTCATTTTAATAACTGTGTGATTGTAAGCCGTCTATATTTGGAGTATAGCATTTCAACAATGGAAGACAAAAAAATTATATAATTTTATCGACACAAAATAAAATATTGAGTCATAATAACGTATAATGCAGTGAACGTGAAGAAATTTAAAAGTAACATACAACAAAGCATTCTTGCTTAATTATTTGAAAATGTTAAGATTTCCAGTAAACTAAAACTTGCTTTGGTCTTGATTATATAGTTCGCAGCCTCTAATCCACGTCTATCAAATGAGATAATTATTGTTCGAGATACGTTACATTATTTAAATTGCATGCAAATGCACTCTCATTTGGTTTAGTAACACACCTCATTACTCAGTAACCGTTTAAAAGCCCGACTTTTGTGAGAACCAAAAAATTAAAATTCCTCCAGGAGACCCAAGGCGATGTGACGCTTGGTGGAATTTACAATTTCGTGTCTGCATTAAAATTTCCTAGATCCGTTTATTACCGAATTACGTAATTTTTGCCATTCCTAATCTTCGATCTTAGTATAACTTTCTAGAGACATCAAAAGATTTGCATTTGCAAAATAATTTTGAAACGATTTTGGTCTTGTCGGGTTTATCGAACCATGATATTTGCTTATTTCCTGCTGCTAGCGTTCGATTCTTGGACACTTTAAAAATAATTGATTGTGGGTTAGTGGCGATCGAGACCGTAATAACATTGCAACGATTTTGCCTCCCGGCGGTGCAATACTCGAAAAAATTTCTTACGCAACAAGTTCAAAACTGGGGCAGTTTATGTTACAAAGAAGCGGAAGTTGCAGTTTTACGAAAATATATCGCATGTTTGCGGCGGCAATTACAATTAGACCTGCTTGAATGTCGCTATTTTTACATAATTAGAAATTCATATGGAGTTTTTAATTAGACTGGACAATTTCCTCCAAACAGGAACATCGCTACTGTTACATTTCTTCACTTTCTATGGCACCCAGTCGGTTCGAGTAACAAAAATTATTACACTTCGCAGATGGCAACATTCTAACTAAACCGTAAACGTGTGTGGGAATGAATCATTTTCATTAATCTTATTTTCCGTGATTATCATAATTGCACCGCTTAAGAAATGAATATTTCAGTTTACGTAAAACTGAGTATCACTGCACCACTTTCATCGCTTCGATTCGCTTGAAATTACTGAGACATTAAAGGAAGAGGTGTGTGTGAAACTTCGGAAACGACCACTGATCACACCCTTGCTATTTTAATCATACTGGCGTCCTCTAGTGAATGATTATACCAACCACGTCTTTTCCTGATTAACATATGCTACATTTATGCAATCACAATTAAAAGATTGCGCTTAATAACACCACTTAATCAATTATTTCAACTAATATAGCTCGTTTTTTAAGAAATGGTTTCCTCAAATTCATCAGATAACAATGTAATTTAACAGGTGCACACGTTTCCTTGATTATGAAAGTAAAGTAAAATTGGGAATCTTTGAATTTAATTTTTTGGTGCAGTTCCTCTTCTATCCTTAATTTCTGATGAAAGTTTCCAATCTTTTGTTTGGTAATTATTGATACAGTTCTCGCTAAGTACCCGCTATTGTATCATGACTTTCAAATTTCCATTCATAAAGTCATTACATTTTTATGTCAGCCGGAAAGCTGAAAAAATCTTTGTCATATTTCTTTGCGGTTGCTAATATCGACCAATTAACAAATATTGACCAAACAAAGAATGTGTTTTACCGGTTACGTTATTATATTTTGTCCTGATTTATGCAAAACAATTTCACGACGAATTTAAAGAATCTCCCTCAATTTCATTTGCATATAATAATTAATTACACAAAATTTTTTTAAGATTACAGATAATTAAAAATGAAATAATCTGATGTTGTATGAAGAATTATGGCGAATTTCTGAAAAATTACGTAGGAAGTGTATTTTTATTAAATAATGTTTTAAAGTTGTTAGGAATGTTGCATGTCAACTTAGATCTCAATTTTATCTTCCTTTGAATAATTTTCTTATGGTTTATGAACAATGAGTGAAGCATGCATCTGTTATTAAACAGTTCGTTGCTTCGGTAGCACTTAGGTATGGTACTGCATGTTCAACGATGCGTCTAGAACTTGTGAATGTATGGGTGGTATGGGTTGCAGATTCACCCAGTGAAAGTACGTCTTGTTAGTGGGTAGATTGGGGAGGAACCCTTTCCACTCGAATCCATATATAAATCCACCTCTCTAAGGGTAAACCATCACTTGTCAGTTTCTTCTACACACAACATGAAGCCTCTTGTGGTAAGTGAGCGGCTTCATCTTAAAAACTGTAATAACCTGAATATAAAAAAATAGGTTGCTTCACTGGTATTAGCAGTCGCCAGCATTGCCCAATGCGGCGAGGCTAAAACCGACGACAAGAAAACCGAAAAACGTGGCATCTTCAGTAGCAGTATTGGAAGTGGCTACGGGGGCGGCTATGGACATGGAGGCAGCATCAGCGGCG